AGAGAGAGAGACAGAGCGAGAGACAGAGCGAGAGACAGAGTGAGAGCTTGGCCGAGTCTCTGGCAGTCGCACCGAACAGATGACAGACTGATGAGGCCCGAGACGACAACAGAGTGACAGTGATGACAGAGAGTGACAGAGAGAGAGAGAGAGAGAGAGAGAGAGAGTGTCATTGATAGAAAGACAGTGAGAGGGGTGTTAATAATGGAGAGTGAGTGACAGAGAGAGAGAGAGAGGGGGGGGGGGCGAAGACGATGACAGCAGACAGAAACAAACCGTTGTGAGTCCTCGCTGCAGAGGCTGAACAAGTGTTTCCTGTATCTGAGATATTTTGTTACTATTATCGTACAGAAGGAGGAAGTGGAGACATGTTGTCCATCTTACTTTACATTGTCTCTACAGTTAAAAACTACTATTCAGAGACGTACAGATTTAAATACTTCAAATTATTTACATGAAAATAACAAGAACTATAACTTTAAAGTAATTGAAAAACCACTGAACATACGTGTACATATACATACAAACAGTTTCCTCCACTCTCTGTAGTAAATACTGATACTTGGTCGATGTGTTCAGTTACACGCAGCCTCTGTTGCACTTCTGTCCGTCCTGGGATCCTCACATGTCCAGATCTCATGTGACTCTCTGAGGATTATTCACTGTGAATAAAGTTTCTGTGGTAGTTTGACTCTCGTTGAGATGAGAACAGAGGATGTTGCTGCTTGTTAACATCGATGAGAAAACTGAATATGAGGCAAGACATCAAACATCAAATCATTTTAACATCAAACCTTGACGACACTGAGGATGAGTCAGAGACAAACAGAAGGGGGCGCTGATCGTGGGAGGAGTCTCTGTGGTGAGGCCTCCAGCAGCGCCGCCGTGACTTTGACTCGTCCAAGGTCGATTGACCCCAGAGCGAACGAGATAAACACGCAGTGACCTCAGGATGAGACTTTCTGGACACTGTCAGTCTTCAGCGAGTTAAGATCCTGTCTCGTTTCTCGTTGTGCGCTCGGAGCCGGCGCCCGCCGCGGCCTCCGCTCACCTCCTCACTTCTGCTTCAGGACGCAGGCGACTGAAAAGTGCTGATTTGCCTTTGGGCCAGAGGGTTTTGTTTTTTTTCTGTCACTTCCTGCCAAGCTACTTACATTTATATTTAATGTGTAAGACACGGTGGATGACGATCATGTCCTCACGATGTGTTTAAAGGTAATCAGACAGAAGAAGATGCAAAAAAGATGCCGTTTGGTTTAAATTAGTTAATCGATGATGTAACAACGGACTGTGACATTATGATTGACAGCTGAGACTCAGTTCTTGTTGGTGGGGAGGGAGTTGAGATGCGTCTTCCATCTTTATTTAGACTTTTTATGATACTGCAAATTTGAAATCACCTTTTTATCTTTACTTTATAACCTTTCTTATTTCTAATTCTTATTCCTCACACTGGTCTTTTCGTAGCTCACCACACTGAATGTCCAGACACATACGAGCTGAAGTATGTGATAAAGTTTTCAAACCTTTGAAAATGTGGACTCACAAGTTTGTGTATATCAGTGAATGTGTCACTGTTCCGGGCAGATTCCTGATGAGAATGAATTCCCGTGTGGTTTTCACTTGTTGTTTGTAAGAAATACTTTGTTCAGCTCCTCAGTTCAACTCGTGTTGATGTTCTGTGCTGAACATCAAATCTCTGACATGCTTTGATTGTTAAAGCATCAGACTCATATTGAGAGTGTAGAAACACCCAGGGTGCAAAGTTTTGTCCCGACGGGTTTTAGAATCTAAACAGAGATGCATCTTACTTCCCGTGACGCTTCAGTACTTTACGTTTCGGTCCTGTACTCGGTGATGTACAGTGACAGCAGAGGAAGCTCAGCGGTCTGTTGTTCTCCGGGTGCACTGGAGCAGTCATGAGGAATATTAACATCAACCCGGCCTGGTACAGCGAGGACGTGCCCGACCAGAGGCTGATGTCACGCCGCTGTCACGGGACACGCGGACGCTGACGAGGGCGCAGGAGGGCATTCATGTGGTTTACGACTTCCGAGGAATTGAAAAAGAAATGTTGTCCGATGAATGAATGATGAAAGTGTTTGCTGAGCTAACATTCAGAAAAAGAACTTGTCTATAATCTCATGCATGTCCTCTGTGTGTGTTCTCGTCCACAGTGATCTGCAGCTTCCGCGGCTCAGTGACTCAGGGTTTGGCTCTGGAGGTTGGAGAGACGGTTCAGATCCTGGAGAAATGTGAAGGTAAGAGAGAAATCATGTCCTTCATCACTGGACCAGCTTCACCAGCGCGGAGACCGCTGGTTCTGCACAGATAAAACAAACAGGAGCTACTCTGAACGCCCTCCTGCTGTGTAGAACTCTGTCTCAACATAATCATAATTAAACTTTATTTATACAGCAGCTTTAAAAACAGGGGGGGGACACGGGATGCTCTGGTACAATCACTTTTTATTATCTTATGTTCAAAAATAAAATGTAAATACACATTTCACTGTGTTTGAATGGACCCAGCAGAATTATTTTATTTAAACATCTGCACCTTCTGTCACTGGCTGGAACTTTTCCACATTCTTTTTGGTGCAGCAGCAGCAGCAGTGTTCGTTTTAATCTGCTCTTTGCCTTCACGTCTTCATGAGGGTTCCAGCTGGAAAAGCTTTTAATGCTGTTATCTCCAATGCACACTGTAAAAACACAGCGACGCTCATCGCTGCATCCATAGGTCTGTTCGATAATGAGCTGTAATAGGCCGGTGCAGACCTGGACCGGAGCCCAACTGAGACAGAACCTCGCAGCTCAAGCCAGAACGTGTGTGAGGCCGGGAAATGTTGTCTTTTGCAGATAATGAGTGAGCGTGTGCTCCATTAGCTGCAGCTGAGGAGGACGCAGCCATCGATCGAGTGCCAGAGGCTGACACACACACACACACACACACACACACACACACACACACACACACACACACACCACCATAGTGTCATCTCCTGCGTCTTTGTTTTGCTGCTTCTTGTTTCTACATTCACTCAAATTCAGCGTAAATCAGCATCTAAAGCTTTTTTCCCGCTGGTCCAAAAAATCCAACTATCACCTGTAAGTTCTTGAACGGTAATGAAACACGACCCTCACATCAGGGAACATCAGGGAACATCAGCTGATTGGAGGAGGCGTCACAGCTTTGCTTCTACACTTCGTCCTTTTTTTTTTCACATTTGAGGATTGTGGGAAGTGCAGTTCTTCTCTGCGTCATCGCAAATAAAACACGTTTTCCTCAAAATGCAGCCGACATCACGTGGAGTCGTGGCTTCAACACGATCCTTTCAAATTCCTTCACACTATCGTCGCTCGTGGTGAATCTACCTTGGATGGTTTTAACATTGTGGCTGATAATCAAAGTCTCTGTTGAGCTCTGTAGATAATGGATGGATTTTACTTCAGGGTGAAGAGTGTGTGTGTGTGTGTGTGTGTGTGTGTGTGTGTGTCATTGCCAATTCAGCTGCTGCAGAAACACTGTAGAGCATTTTGCAGAGAAAGAACACTGAGTATTCAAGGTGCAAGTAAAGTCTCTCTTAAAATGATCTTTCCCACCGTCTCCGTCTGCAGACAGAGGCTCAGTGGCTGTGATGACATTGATATGGAGACGGCAGCCGGGCTGCAGGAGAGCAATCCCTGAGGTCCATTCTTCAAATATAGATTAGAGTCATAACACTTGAGAAGGCATTAGACTTCCATTAAGGGCATGGCAGCAATTTAAAGTAGGAGATTTTGGACTCTGTCAGCGTTACTGAAGAACCACAGTCACAGCAGAGACGCTCATTAGTTTATAAGAACGGCTGCAGCGGAAGATTTGTGACAGAGGAAAGATGGCTGCCGGTAAATAACAGGTAAACTACCAGGATTTGTTGAGATCAGCTGTTATTGAGTTGTAACGAAGACAAGTTCATCCGTCCATCAGAGTATTAAAGGTCCAGTGTGTGGAATGTAGTGACACCTAGTGGTGAAGAGGAAAGAGAACCTGTCTGGGATAATGTAAAAAAAAAAACATGGCTGCCTCTGTAGAGAGGAGAGTATTTGTAAAGTATGTAAATGTAAAGTATTTTAATATAAAGTATTTTAACAAATGAAATACACGAGTGAAATCATCACTTGGATTATTAATTAATCAATATTATTAATTCTGCCAACATCCCTTTCACCTGAATCTGACACCACGACAGCAAATGTTACGCTGTTTACTTCCATCCTGTACTTTTTGCTGTCGGACTTAAAAACATGAGGTGCATCGATATTTCAGACGTGGAACATCGATCACTGTGTTCGCTGACGTTAGAAAAAACACTGACCGAACATTGTGTTGTATTCATTCTATTCCACCATCTGAGGGCCACGTTCACAGCGAGGGACACGTCACGACTTCACACCAGAATATTGATCAGACACTAATCAATCAATACCTGTTGATTGGCAGTGAGGAGCTCAGCTGCTCCTCTCTCTGTCGTATCACTGCATTAACGAGCTTGTCTCAGGCTGAGCTCCTCGGGGACGTGAGGCATCGTTAAAGACTCATATCTGGCGGATTTGATCGCTCGATGGAAACCTGCGTTTATTCTCTAACGCTGTGTTCACAGTGAGTTTAGTGTGAGCCTCAGAAGTGGCTCCTCCAGTTCTGCCTCCCACTTACAAATGATGTGCAGTGATTATTATTGTGATAATGCTGCGAATGATTATTCTAATAATCACTCGCTGAGTCGTTGGGCTCCAGGAGTCGAGATGATTATTCTTCCTCAGAGAGACGGAGTGTGACAGTGAACAAATTAGACGCACATATGCACCTGCGATACACACACACACACACACACACACACACACCTGCCCTGTCATCTCTGCTTACACACCTGCAGTATATAATAACAATAGTAATGATATACTCACATGCACATGTACAAATGAATGTTTTATTTGCTTTCCGCCCTCGTGTTTCTCATATATCTTACAGATGCAGTAAACGAGCCCGGCTACACACACACACACAGACACACACACACACACACACACACACACACACACACACACACACGTCCTCATTTCAACTCCTTCAAATAGACCCAGACACTGCTGGTCCAGCCCCAGTCTGATTACCATATAGATGAGAGGCAGGGGAGTAAACACAGCTGTCTTAACGAGAGTGATAAATGAATCTTGATTGGTTATTAATTACCCCGGCCAATTAAGCCTTCCTCCTCCGTACTCATATCAGAACAGGGAGAACTGCTGAGGAAATGATTTCGCAGGAAGATAAGATGGACGTGCGAGGCGTCCTGGTCTGTGTGTAACTGGAACATTTTTTCTAAATGTTTAATCAGAAACACTTATGTGAGATTCTCAGGGAAATTATTTTTTCTGTATTTCAATGTCAGACGGACGTTGGTGTTTCAGATATTCAGACTTTTGTAATCTGTGATAAAAACATAATAAATTGTCGTTCTCTCCGTGAAGGTCAAAGTAATAACATGAATCATTTGGATATAGACGTCTCTCTTGCTTCCCTCTGTCGCTGACAGACTGCGGTCACCCAAGCCTTTCAGTTCCAGGACTCGGACACACAACCGGTTTTATTTCCACTCAGATGGAGACAAACGGTGTCCTCCGCAGTCTGAGAGGATGTCTGGGCTCTTTCCTGTACACATTTACTCCCTGGATACAAGTCATCTTCAGCTTTCAAGGTTTTACTTCAAGTTTAGTCCGCGGAGGACTCTGACGAACGTTCAGTCATGCGGAAAGAACCTGTCACTGAGGAGTGGTCGTGTACTGTGGGTCACACGGGGCTCAGAGATGTGGAATAAACTTTACCCTGAACTGATGAAACAGTAAAACTTGATTTACAGGAGAAAACAAAAAAGATGCATCTCACAGTCTCACATCAAACTAAGAGGTCGTGTTTTTGTCTGGTTGCAAAGATTTAAATTTAAACCAAACTCTGAAACAACAAAAATCTGAAGCACGAACCCTTTAACATATCAAATGTATCATGTCAGAGTGAACCTCCTCTTTAGTCCGATCCACTTTTTAAACTGAGCTTCAGAGTGATTTCTGTTTGTTTCCTTTCAGGATGGTTCCGAGGATTTTCAACGAGGAAGCCAAATGTCAAGGTAAGAGTGACTGACAGCTCCCGCTCTGCGGCTCTCCTCCCTCACACTCTTTCATCGACTGTCTTTCGTCTTTCTTCTAATTAAATGCTAAAGAAAATATCTTATTCCCAAAGGCAGCATGTCCGAGTCGTGACCTCAGTGTTTCTGCCTGTGGCACAGAAACAACTACGGATGTTTGAGTGGATCAGAGATGTTTCTTTGTGTTTTAAGTATAATTGGTAGTCGATTTTCCAAGGGGCCAATTATAAGAAACTGTGTCGCCCACATTTCTTTAATTCATTCATTAATTCATGTTCGAGTGCCGGGGGCATTTTAAAACCCACTGCTTGTGATTCTCAGATTAGCTTCTTTGCAACTTTTATTGACGCTGGACAACAGCGTGACGACAGGAATTAAGTGATGACAATGACAAATTCTGTTTTTCAGTTTCCTCTTGTGTCATAAAAAGCTTTTTCGTTAATGTCAGAGTTCTGCAGAGTCAAAGAGTTAAAGTCTGTGTTCTTCTCCTGGGCTGCAATTCTCTGTCTGGAATAATTAGCTCAGCTGAACCTGAACCTGACAGACGTTCTGTTCAAACCTGACCTCAGCCTGAACTTGGAGCGGTCAAACCTGATATTACAACGATGAACCTATGAGCAGACGTCTGTGAGCGCTGACGGCCGCTGTCACTCGTTGTGATTAAGATGTGCTGTGTATGTGAATGTGTCGTGTGTGATGACCTCAGCCTCCTTACATCCCTCTGGTTGTTTTTATCTGGTGTTCGACAGCAGACGACCTGTTGCGGCTGATCCACAGCAGAAACTGTCAGAAGCAAAAGTAAAAGTGTTGCTTGATGGAACCTCAGCTCTGCAGAGCAAGGTTTGATCTCCAGACGCAGAAACAGCCTGTAGGGTTTGGTACAGTTTGTTGTTTAGAAGCTCGGTGCATCACAGTTACTGCGGTAACCCCGTGACATGACGACTGCAGAGGAGCAGGTTTGTTTGGTACCGACAGGCCCTGTAGCTCCGCTTTACCCGTGTGAAACATTCACACTTTGAAAAACATCTTTGGAGAATGAAGGGAAAACAACATTTTCTTACCTGAAACTAAACAAGAGGATTTTCTCATGTAATAAACAATAGAAGAATAAAAGCTCCACAGAAGCAAAAACAATGGAAACACAAGGACTAGAAGTAGAATTTATGAAATAGGTGAGTTTTGAAGAATTTCTGGAAACTGTTGATGGACTGTTTCAGTTTTTAATCTGGATTTTGGGATGGACAGAAGTTCTTGGTCGGATCTCAGTGCAGCGGACACAACAGGAACATAATGAGGGGCCAGCCTGTGAAATATAGTTT